TGACGTTCTTTATATGCACGCGTAGGTAAAATTACGCTCTACAACTTTCGTTTAGACTTCGTCGGATAATTTTGACTTTAATTTTTATATTATTATTTTTAACAGACCGGGACAGGAAATCCGTTAAAAATTCATAACTTCTTCATCCGACGTCCGTTTTCGTCAGACTTTTTACCGTTGTGCTACTATTTACGAGACCTTCGATTCTCGTTTAGGTTGTGTTGGCTAAAAGTCACTCGATCTAAAATTCGAGTTTTTAGTTGTCTACTGCTAAGCTGAAATTTCGAAAAATCATAACTTCCTCATACGAAGTCAGATTTGGGCGTTCTTTTTATACCTACTCTCGGTTTAACGAATACTACGAGTTTCGTTTAGATCACTAAGGCTAAAAAGTAGTTTATCAAAAACTCACTTTTTACGACATTCAGCACCGTGCCGGTTTTGTCGTGAAACTTCGACAGGTCATAACTTCTTCATTATAACTCGAATTTCGGCATTCTTTATATATCCGTAATCCTTGTCACGACCACTACAACTTTCTTAATAGATATCGGCTTTATCTAATATTTATTTTCGACGCTCATTTTTTATTCTTAATTAATTAACTCCTAGGATTTAAGCATAAAACACATAAAACACATAGAATTCACATAATTCCTTTTCATTCCTTCAAAATGAGTTACAAAGGTTAACCTAGACTATCATATCAAGATTAATGCCTAGGATAGAAACACGAGTGTTACATTTAGGGTTGCATGTACACCATAGGAGTGTTAGAATGTTCAAAACCCTTCAGAAGGTTATTTCGTGTACGAGTTTGAGGAGTTTGAGAGGAGTTGATCCCAACACCGAGGACAGTTCAGACACTTCACGACATTGAGGTGAGTTACCTTCCAATAGAATTGGGTCCAAGGCCACAATGTCGGCCCACTAGTAGGAGTTGTTGTTAGATAATTGTCTTTGTGATAATTGTCTGATATACCACTATTTGTTATGTTTTTATGTTCCAGTATGGTATGATGCTATATGATAGTGATAGTAGGGGGAATAGTCCCCATATTAGGTCGAAAGGACCCAAGGGGTAGGTCGGGCACCTCGGTATGCCTGATAGTATGTTTATGTTATGTTATGTTATTATGTGGTTGTGGTAGGGGATGAAATAGTCCCCGTAACCGGTTGAGATACATCGAAGGATAGGTCGGGCACCCAGATTTGCTTGACATGGGGTAGGTCGGGCACCCCAGTATGCCTGACAATGGGGTAGGTTGAGCACCCCGGTATGCTCAGCAGGGTAGGTCGGGCACCTAGATATGGCTGGCAATATGTTTGTAGTATGGTATGTGGTATGATGGGGGAACCCACTAAGCTTCGCGCTTACAGTTTTCAGTTTTGTTTCAGGTACCTCTTCGTCGAAGGGGAAGGAGTCGGCACGGTAGCAGCGCATCACACACATAGGATTTCTGCATTATGAGATTCATGGGATTGTACTCTGACATTGTTACTATTTTATGATATGGTTTGAGACATGTGGCTATGGTTTTATGGAATGATATGATTCGATGATGTTTTCAGTAAACAATTTTATAAGTTACTCAATTATAAACAAAATTTTTTGTTATGATTTTTGGGATGTTACATGTTCAACAACTCGTACTTACCATTTCTATATTGTCAATCGAATAGGTACACTTGCCTTGTGTAGCAATTTTAGTGGATAATAGGTTTAATTTACAAATATAAAACGATTAGATTTCTACACATCAACAACCACCACAGCCGGAAAAATACGATCACCAGCACTGGTCAACATCGCCACCGGTGTTGAACCTCTTTGAAAACCCTCTGGAAAACCCTTCTCGAAAACCCTCTGATATGAAAGTCGTCGTCACCTTGAGCTCGTCACCGCTAGTGAAGAAGAAAAAATGAGATTTGAAAGATCTTGGGTTTTTGGGTGGCGAGATCTAAACATCTAAGGTTTGTGGTCGTCACCTTAATCTCTTCACAATTATCGAAGAAGACGGACTAAGTTTTGATACTCATAACGATAGGGGTGGAGTCGGTGGTGATCCGATGAACCAAAGATTTATAAACAAAGAACCGGAGTTTGGTTTCTCCTGATGATGAAAACTGAAGTGGGAGGAGGGTGAGAAATGAAACGGTGGGCGATAGTGTTTCCGGAGAGAATTATATGGTCGTCCGTCGTGTTTTTGGCGAGAATGGCATGGTGGTCGGCGATGCTTTCTTGCTGATAATAAATAGAGAGAGAGAATGTTAAAGAGAAAAAGGAAGAGGTAGAGTAGTATTTTATTTCTTATTTTCTTTTTAAATGTTGTAATAAAATGAAAATGAAAAAAAAAACAAAAAACAAAAAAGAACAAATTAAAAGTGATAAATCCGACATTTTAAAAAAATTTGGAACAAATCCATAATAAAATTCATATTTTAAACCAGCAGTACAAGTCTAAATTTTCTTTTTGACTTAAAGTGATAATTCACAAAACATAAAAGTTTATTCTAATGTAGTAAAATAGGAAAGTATAAAGATTTTTTCTTTTCACCCAAAGCGGAGGTGAAGTTATGGATGAGTTATAATAAGATGTGTCACATGCCCGCGCCCAAAAGAAAAAGAAAGAAGAAAACCTCCGTTAACTTCACTCCTCTCTCTCTCTCTCTCTCATGGCGTGATGCTTACTGAAAGCAAGCAAGTTCACTGTTCATTGTCTCTCTGGCTTTATCACATGGAACCATTGTGTGTGTATCTTTGTGTAAATTGCTAAATGATGATGAAGCGGAATTCTTCCAAAGACTCGCTCATCGGTATCGGAGGTCGGAATCTCCATTCTAATGGTATTCGTAATGCTCCTCCAGTGGCCGGGTTGTTATCTCACCGGAGAGTTATGAGTTTCACCAGCACCACCGAGGATTTCAACAACAGTAACAGCAACAATGTCGATTTCCTCTCTCGTAATCGTCGTAGTCTTTCCGTCGCCTCCTCCGACGAATCCGACTGTATGATCCCCTTACATGTTTATATTTTTTCTTTGATGTTATCGACCTGAATAGACGATCGATTTTTGGATATATCAGACAATGTCATTTGAAGTACAATTTTCCCTGCCTAAATTCGTAATTCCTCGTTGATAATGCTTGTAGTTGGATTTGTCAGTTGTTAATGTTCATCGCTAATTTTGATACGTATATGTTGATTGATTTTTGTTCTGTTCTTCTTCAGTGCAGATGAGATTAGGAAGACTTTCGGTTGGATCAACTAAAACTGCAAAAAACGTATTAGATGATCTACTTTCATCTAATGAAGGCGGAAAGCATGACTACGACTGGCTCCTGACTCCTCCGGGAACTCCTCTACTTCCGTGTTCCTCCGATGGAAAAGAATCAGAGTCTCAACCAACATCAACATCAATCACCCCTAGAAGGAATTCTTCAGTTAGATCAGGCTCTGCGACTAAGAATTCAAGGGTGCGCTGCGCTTCTTTCTCTCTTTTGTAATGCAATCTCCTTAGATTTTTCATTTGATTACATAATGTTGAGTTTTCTGAATTGCAGCTTTCTGCTTCTCAATCTGAGAGTATCCATCCTTCAAATTCAAAACCAGCAAGAAGCAGTTCAACAACTACCAACAGAAACCCTAATATTCTAAATACCAGCTCTGCTTCCGTCTCATCTTACATAAGACCATCCACCCCAACTAAACGTTCTTCATCCACCGCAACCTCACGACCTTCAACACCTTCGAGAACCCTCCCATCCACCACCACCACCTCCGCACGTTCTTCATCCACCACCAGACCATCCCAAAACTCAAGACCATCAACTCCTATTTCCCCTGTCATTCGACAACCTTCTTCTAGGCCATCGACTCCCACTCGTCGGAGTCCAACACCTTCTGCTACATCTTCACCTTCTTCTGTACGTGCTTTATCTTCCAATGGCCGGAGTGTAGGGCCCACATCCAGGCCAAGCTCTCCTAGCCCACGTGTTCGCCCCCCACCACAGCCCATCATTCCCCCTGATTTTCCACATGAAACGCCACCAAATCTCAGAACAACTTTACCGGAAAGGCCACTCTCTGCCGGAAGGTCCAGACCAGGTACAACCATGGCTACAAACTCTGCAAGCATGGCAAGGAGACAGTCATCGCCAATAGTCACTAGAGGAAGACACACAGTCACAGAACCTCCCCCTCCAAGAGGGCAATCACATGTGCCTGAGTCGCTCACAAAAAAACCTATAAAAATTTCAAATTCCGAGGGTGTTACTGGTACAGGATTTGGGAGGAATATCTCAAAGAAATCACTTGACATGGCCATAAAACATATGGTATTTTAGTTTTCTTTTATTTCTTTGAATAATATTGTTGTATAATCAATCTCAAAGATCCTCTGTTTGTTTGTTGCAGGATATAAGAAATGGAGGCATACGTCCTTCAACACTTTTTCCTCAAAGCATCCGGATGCAAGGTGGGCATGGTTCAAGTAAAAATGAAATTTTGAATAATGGAACTTCATATTCTTCTAAAATAATCAAAATAGACATGTATGAGAGCTCGAGGTATGATACTCTTTTACTGAAACAAGAGTTGAACGACACAACTTGGCTGCATAATGTAGAAGAAAAGAGTGATGAATTAGGTCAATTGTTTGATAATGGATTTGAGACACTCCCTGAACCTTTTTCACCCTTGTGACATCACACTTCCTCTTATTCATTAAATTATGTGTCTGAAAGTGAGGGTGTTGTGAATCGGTTTGTTTACATTACATGTAATACCCAAAAAGAATAAATTGATTTTTGTATAATTCCAGAAATATAGTATATATAGATTTAAGTTATAGCATCTTAGTTTATTTTATTGTCCATTTTTTTTTGTAACATTTTGTACCCTGTAATGAGATTGTTGGTAATGGAAAAATGTACTACAATATCCAATAACAATTTTCTTTTAGAGTAAGCTACAAAACACAAGCTCTCTCTTTCTCTTTCTCTCATCATATATATCTAACTTTCCTACTATAATCATATAAAAACCAGTTCATGATATTGTTTTTGGTACATAAACTTCCTTTAAAAATTAAAATCAAGAACTTGTCCTAAGGTTTCTCAACCAAGTCGGCCCCACTCACGTATCTAGCAACCAATGATATGAATCGAAAGGGGGCCCCAATGAGAGGAGCATCTATTAAAGGCACCACATCTACATCCACATCCACATCACCACCTCCTTTTCTCTCTAACAACACATCATTCTCATCCAATGGAATTTGCACAATCTCTCCGGAAGCCATGCTTACTCGATTCACATCATCTTTCTTCATTGACTCCATAATTTTATCATCAGTAGTCGTCTCTGTATCTGAAGTTTCATCATCAACTTCAGAATTTGTCACCATTGGATCATCAGTTGTTGTCACTTCACCATTTAAGTTGTTCACTTTCTCAATAAGCTTCTCATTTTCAAAAACCAGTTTCTCAATCAGACCCCTTGCAGATTCCAGTTGTGTCTTCATCTCCTCGTCTTCCATTACAACATGCTACACCACCAAACAAAACGTATCAAATGTCGGGTTTCTGATAAAAAAAAAATTATTAAAAAAATAAAGAATGAGACAAACCTTTGACTTTGACTTTTCAGAAGATAAATGGGAAGCCATGGAATTCTCAAGGTCTTGAATCTTTGACTGAAGAACAGACACGTGTTCTTTCAGCTGCTGGTTTTGGTAAGAAATATCATGTCTGGATGCTTCCAGCTCTATCACCTGAAAGGCTTTGATTTATAGCAACTCACCTTTATATTTTTACAACATAAAGTGTGACAAATATTATAAATAGATGCTTATAAAAACAGCATCAAAAATGTACCTGTGCTTGTAATCTTGCATTATCCTTGTTCATAGTGTTTATTTCTTCAACCAATTGGTTTACTTTTTCCTGATAACCAGTCTGCATATTATGCTGATGTCAATCATATAATGCTAAATCAATTGCATACAATTATTATTAATTGTGAATTTCTGACTCACCTCTTTCTGAAGCCAGGAATCTTTTTCAGTTTGTAATTGTAAAATTCTTGTCTCAAACTCAGTCTGATGATCAAATCACACATGGATATAACAATAAGTAATCAAACATGTGTAGCATTTTTGACAACTATAACAATTCTTTTGGCTAATTATAAGTTATATAAGTCACCTCTTTATGATGCCATAAGTTTATTTCTTTCTGTGATTGTGAAAGGTTTCTCTCTAGATCAGCCTGAAAGAATTTGACAAAATTTAACATGAAAATTGAAATGTGAACTTCATAGCAATGAAATATGTTACTACCTCCCTTAGTACATACACCTCCAATTGCTCTTTCAAATCTTTTATTTTTTGTTGTATAGAAGCCTGTAAATTGGATAGAATAATTAAAGAGAAAGATAGGATATGTCAAATTGTTGATAACACTAACACATGAGCCACAAACATGATAAATTCTTACCTCTCTGTTAAATGAATAGGATTCAGCCTGAATTGAATGTGACTGTATAACCAAATTTTCAAAATAACAATAATAAGATATTGAAGATTTGTTAAGAGAAATTTTAATTTGGTCATAAGAAACTTACGGTTTCGGCTCCACTAATGGACTCTCTATCTGAATCCAAAACTCTTTGATGCAGACCCTTGTTATGAACATCTGCATTTTCAAAAATTAGGCTCTGATTATTCACATGGGCATGATTGTCATTTTCAGAACTCAGTTCCCCAACACCAGTAGGTGGCCTCTCATTTGCTTTTCCCTGTTTGTTCTTCTTTTTCTTCTGTCTCTTCTTCTTTTCATGCTCCATGAGTTCAAATTTGTTTCAGAGACCAAAACCAGATACTTAGAGGTGAGTTGTCACTTTAAATAAAGTATTATGTCAATATCTCTTTACCTGCATACATTAATAATCACCATTTCAGTGAAAGAATGAATAAGGAAAATCAAACTCAAGAGTAAGAACTGCTATAACAAATGTTCTTTGAAGACACATAGAAGATATCGCCAACCAAAGATATCAATATGATATAATGCAAACAAGTCTGTCGAGGTCCCGATCCCAAAAAGGGGAAATCGCATCTTGAGAATATGAAAGGAGAATAGGGGATTACTTCTTATAATACCAAAAACGGATTGATGAACAGAACCAATCACTTCTTTCGTTTACCTCTTGTTGGGCTACCTAATTTTGAGGTGAGAGGTCTAGCAGGTATGAAAAACTTATGGCTTTGTGTAGTTTACCTCATCAGCTAATTGTAGAGTTAATTTACACAGTCAATTAAACAAATTCATAAACTGAAACTACAGCCCTAAACATATAATTTGAGACACATTTGAAAAAGAAGACCGAAGGCTGACGATGGCCAAACAGATTGACATAGCAATTTCTTCAACACATTACCGATTCAACATTACACATTGCGTTTAGCAATTGGTGATATCATGAAATCGAAACCAGAAATGTCACAAGAAAATGCTCTACTAAAACATGGAAATAGAAAATAAAATACCTGCATCCATAGGGATGATGCGTGAATAGAGTTGAAATGAATCGAAGTTGCATAAGAAAATAAAAGATAGGTAGACTTACGTGCAGATCTGAATTGCAGAATATAAAATGTATATAGTTTTATGTTAGGGTTCTTGGAAGGTGAAGGGAATTGTTTAAGAACGATAGATGTGCCTTTCCCTCTCTGGAATGGAAATGGCTTTTCTTTACGAAATTGTGTTTCTTTTTCTATACGACAGTGTGTTGTGTTTTTTATTTAATTTATTTAATTATTTAATTATATGGACTACGGAGAATTTCATGAATATTTTTTAAAATTTTTATAATTATGTTTATATATTATATATATATATATTCTAAAACTTTAAATTATATATTTCTTTTTATAAAATCTATAAATTCATCAAAATACTTAAATTAATTAAAATCAATCTATTTAAAAATTAAAGACGTTATATTTAATTTAGATTATACCATTTTTACTAAAATACTCATGTGTCATTATTCATATAATCTATCTTTTTATTCACGATATGGTTATTTACAACCTAATACTTTGTCGCTTCATATTCTACATAATCCATTAGCAAAACATGGTCATTAAATATTCATAATCGATTGCTAAACGATATATTTCATCTCCTACAATCGGTTTAGGAAACATGTGATTATTTTCCTCTAAATATTTTTTTTATGAAATGAATTTGTAATCGGTGGTAATGTAATTAAGATTTGAAGCTCCAAACAATTAAGTTCAATCGACCCTAACTATGTTATTATTGACATCTTGGAAGTAATTATCATATCGATAGTGGATTTTGGTTGATGATTATGTTTGGATCGATGACAACTTCATGTCGAATTTGAATTTGGCACCCAAACTATGTTCAGCCGATCAATATTATTGTGTTCACTAAGAATATATTAATCCTAACTTTGTTATCGATCAATTACATCCATATAGAAGATCAATATGGTTAGGATTTTTTGGGAGAAAGGTAATAATATAATGTTACATTAATTAGTTTTTTTTAATAATAAAAATCAAATTAAAGATAGTGTTAAAATTTTTAAATATATTAATCATGATTAAATTAAGTATTTAGGTATATTTGTGACTGTATAATTTTTATAAGGATATATATTTAATTTAAAGCTTTATACGGTAAACATCTTATTTGGGACTAAATCTGAAACATAAACTAATCTAAGAAAAAATCATATAAAAAAATAAGATAGTGGTAGTATTATTTTTTTTTTTTTTAAATAAACAATTAGAGATGACTTTTTCATTAATAGGGTTGAAGTTTAATGACTTTTCTGAAGATTCTTCTTTTTTATATATATTAAATTAAATTTTTTTTTAAACTCTTATTTATTTATTTAGAAAACTCAAAATAAATATACAATCTACATCCCTTTCACTAAAAAAATTCATTCTCATTTATTAAAAGACACAATAATGATAATTTATACATAATTTTTGGGTTTTTTGTGATTTCTTCAATAAACATCGTAACTATATATCATTTTTTGCATGTGTTTTATAAATATTGTAACTTTTATAACATTTTTGCAACTATCTAACCATATCAAAATTTAAGTTATGTGTTGTACAACAACATGAACTTAATTTTGTCACTTCTAACAAAGTAGAAACGACATTTATTGTCATTCTTTACACCTAATTCTCATCTTTTTAAACCTAAGACTTGAATATTCAATAATGAATGTAGCATGTGGTCTAGACACATGCTCTATACGACAAATCAACAAAGTCGTCTTAAATTATATATGATAACTACAATCATAAAAATACAATTTATATCTTATATAATTTAAGAGAACTTTGTTGATTTATCTTATGGAACACATTTCTAGGTCACATGTTACATTTATCATTGGATTTTTAGGTTTTGGGTGTAAAAAAAGTGAGTTAGGTGTAAAGAATGACAATGAAGTAAATTTTCACTTTTTTAGAAGTGACCAAATTAAGTTCAAGTTTCTCTACAATAGTTATAAAAACACATGCTAAATACAGTTAATAGAACTTTTGTTGAACTGTTGTAAGGAGCATGTTTTCTACGCCACATATTGTGTATAATGGAGCTCTATTTGGGAACAACAACATTTGGTAAGCCTTTATTTTTTTTAGTTGACGTTCGATTGTGAGAGACTCGTTAGTATGTTGCAGATTTATGGTAAAAGTTTTACACCCAAGACCTGCAAATTCAACAACGATGTAGCATGTTGCCTAGAAATGTGTTTTTTGCTATAAATCTACAAAGTCCTCTTAATTTTATAGGACATATATGATATATTTATATTTTAATTATTATATTTATCGAAGAGAATCACAAAAAAAACCAAAAAAATGATATATATATATATATATATATATATATATATATATATATATATATTATCATAATTGTTTTTTTAATAAATAAATATGAGTTTTATTCAAATTAATTTAATATATATAAAAAGAAAAATCTTCAGAAAAGTCCTTAAACTATAACCCTATTAATGTAAAAATCATCCATGGTTGTTTATTTACGATTCGGGTCTGAAAATCGGCATTATCCGGGTACAAAGGTTATTTTGCAAGTGTTTACCGATTTTTTTTGCTTCATTGCAAAAAAAAAAAAAAAAAAAAATAGGATTGACCTTTACGTTAAAAGAACCAAACTTTATATATATATATATATATATATATATATATATATATATATATATATATATATATATATATATTACAAATTTCCCTGAAAAATAGAAAGATATGAGTCATTTTACATTAATTAAACAGTAGGTCATGAATAATATCAGCTAAAAAGAAACCACATGAACACAACCTATATATATATATATATATATATATATATATATATATATATATATATATATGTATGTATATACATACATATATATATATATATATATATATATATATATATATATATATATATATATATATAGTTAAATGTGACTAGAGCATTTTGATCATGTTCATGGATCAATTCGAGCACTTGGAACTCGATGGAGCGTTTAGGGTTCATGGAGCATGTGACAAAGGAACGTATCATTTGAGAAAGGAATTGATCGTCTATTAAAGGAACGGATCAATTGCCAAAGGAACTGAATGTACAGAAGGGGGTTTGGAGCACCTGAAAGAGGTTTGGAGCACTTGGGAGTCATATGGAGCAACAAGGGAACTTTGTTGTGCCATATGTTGAAGGGATTGGCCAAGAAAAATGTTTTTGTGCCAAGGACATTCCTTCTTCCGCCATTATGATCCCTCTTGCGCCATGAGGGGTTCCTCTTGCGCCATGAGGATCCCTCTTACACCATGAAGTACTCTTGTTGAGCCATGGAGTATGCTCGTGCGCCATGCATGGCCTTATTGTGCCATGTATGTTCTTGTTGCGCCAATATGGTGTTGTTTCTCCAATCTTGATGTTCTTGTGCCACACTTGAAGCTTGTTGTGTCATCCATACACTTGTTGCGCCATCATGGTGCAAGTTGGACCATCTTGGTCCTTAATGAGCCAAGTATGCTATGAAGTCCTCTATGATGGTCAAGAATGTTCCAGAAGATGTTGCAATGCGGAATATGATTGGTTGCCTCCATTCATGGGCCTATGGGCAACTAAGCTTGGCCCATTAGGGTTTTAGGTGTGATCCCTCAAGAATAAATAGGGATGCATGCAAGGTCATTTTGTATCTTGAGTTCTAGAGTGATAGGCGAATCTATGTGTAATTGTACTTGTAACATCTGTTTGAGAGCTTTGAAATAAAAGAATACTCCCCTCCTGCCCTTGGACGTAGGTCACCTTGAACGAAACACGCAAATATTGTGACTTGTGTGCTTATAGTGTTGCTAGTTATCCGCTTTACTTCTTAACAAGTGGTATCGGTGCTACGGTTTGTATTCATGTGATTGAAGATGTCTGCTCACAAATTTGATTTGGAGAAATTCAATGATTCAAATGACTTTACATTGTGGAAGATGAATATGGAGGCTCTTCTGGCTCAACAAGGATGTGCAGCTACACTGGAAGGAGAAGCAAAATTGCCAAAGGACGTGGTGGATTAAAATAAGATGGACATTCCGACGCAGGAACATAGTACCATTCTATTGAGCTTGACAGATGAAGTACTGAGGGAGGTCATGGATCAAATAACTGTTTCTGGGCTATGGGATAAACTTTGTGACAAGTACCAGAACAACTCACTGACGAACAGGTTGTATCAGAAGCAAAGGTTGTACACTCTTATAATGTCTGGAAGTACCCAAGTGAAAGATCATCTAGATAACTTCAATCGCATCATATTGGATCTATAAGGTGTTGACGTGAAGATTGAATATGAAGATCAGGCGCCCATTCTCTTATGTTCTCTTCCTAACTCATATAAGAATTTTGTTGATACCATACTCTATGGTAGGACAACGATCACTGTGAATGATGTGAATGACTCTTTGATGTCCAAGGAACTGAAAAGAAAAGTTTCAGTTGGAGAGGAGGTGTCCAATTATGATTTGTTTGCAGGGAGAGGAAGCACAGAAGAGAGGAAAGGGGGAAACAGAGGGATATCACACTCTAAGTCGAAGTCTGAAGGTTCATCGAATGCCAAGTGTTATAACTGTAAGGAGAAGGGATATTTCAAGCGAAATTGTCCACAACTGAAGAATGGGAAGTCCAAGAGTGAATCAAGCAACAATAACATTGTTGTTGTGGTTCAGGAAATATTTGATGACGGGGACGATGGTGATGTACGAACTGTATGTACATGAAGTTTTGTTGATGCTTGGGTCTTGGATTATAGAGCATCCTACCACATGACATATAATCGTGATTGGTTCGACTCATTCAAAGAGTGGGATGACACAGTCAAGATGGATAATGATTGGGTGTGAAATGTCCCAAAAATCATAACCAAAAATTTCATTTTAAATCATTAAATAAAACCATAGTTATCAGAACATTTCATCGAAACATAAGTCAAACTATCTCAAAACATTATTGTCAGAGTTTCCTAATCAAAACATCAGAGTAATCATCCTAGGCTAAATATAATGGTATATGCAATGCAGTCATCCCGAGCTCTTCCTTTTGCTACCAGAAGTACCTGAAATCAAAACTGAAAACTATAAGCACGAAGCTTAGTGAGTTTCCCCAAACTACCGCGTACCATACACATAACATACAACTA